TCAACACAGCATTGAGATATAAGTGAAAAAAGTTAGTAGAGAAATGGCTTCTGGAAATAATTCTTCTTTTTTAAGGAGAAGGGCTTCAGGGCTAACATTACTCAATCTGAGATCTATTAGCAAAACTTAAAAAAGTAAATGTTATCAACTATTGATTAACTCCTGAAGCATCCGTACCCATTTGCTTTTCCTTTTTATTTTCCCCAGCCATACAGGGCCCAGCAAGGTGCAAGTTTACCCCAGCCTTGTTCTAAGCTGGTGGTCATTCATGTGGAAGCTGCAAGCAGGGCAGGGAGTGGAGTGAGAAGCCATGTCGGCTACAGCCTGGGCCACTTTAGATTGAAATGTCTCTGGATTGAATCTCTACCTGACCCCGTGCTTTATTTCACCTTTATTGCTTAAGAAAAAATCCTTTTTTCCAAACTATTTTTAAATTGTCTAGGAGTTTTCAAAACAATATATGTTCCACTAAATCAGGTATTGTGGTATTAGGATATGCAGATCTGTAAGTTTTCATCCACAGGTCCTGGCTCAAAAGTCCCATGGTCCTTGTTATAGTGCTGGGACACTTTAGGCCTCAGGAAACAAACTCTCTCTGACCTTCTCCTGTCCCTTCTCCTGACCAAGGTAAGACTCTAAACTGAATATGGGTCAAAAGACCCTCATTCCAGAGAGGATCCCACCCCATACCTAAAGTCTGGACAGGCCTTGCTGGGTTTAGATGATATGCTTTTTGCCCAATCCCATTTCTACAGGGTTGTCAGTCATACCTATGTAATGAAGCCTCCATAAAAACCCAAGAGGATGGGGTTTGGAGAGCTTCTGGACATCTGAACGCATGGAGCCTCCTAGAGGGCGGCGTGGACAGGGAGGGCATGGGAGCTCTGTGCCCCTTTACACGTGCCTCCCCTACCAATCTCTTCATCTGTATCCCTTGCAACATCCTTGATATTAAACTGACAAATGTGTTTTCTTGAGCTCTATAAGTGGCTCCACCACGTTAACCAAACCTGAGAAAGGGGTCTTGGGAACCCCAGCTTGAAGCCCATCGGTCAGAAGTTCTAGAGGCCTGGGGCTGGGTGCAGTGGCTCACACCTCTAATCCCAGCACGTTGGGAGGCCGAGGAGGGCGGATCACCTTAGGTGAGGAGTTCGAGACCCAGTCTGACTAAGATGGTGAAACCCCGTCTCTACTAAAAATACAAAAATTAGCTGGACGTAGTGGCAGGCACCTGTAATCTCAGCTGCCTTGGGAGGCTGAGGCAGGAGAATCACTTGAACTTGGGAGGCGGAGATTTGCAGTGAGCTGAGATCCTGCCCATTGCACTCCAGCCTGGGTGACAGAGCGAGACTCTGTCCAAAAAAAAAAAAAAAAAAAATTTCTAGAGGCCTGGACTCGCAATTGATGTCTGAAGGGCGGGGTTGGCAATGGAGGTGGGGGGGGGTGATGTCTTTGGGACTGAGCCCCGAACCTGTGGGATCTGATACCATCTTTAGGTAGATTGTGTCAGATTTGAATTGGCGGACACTCAGCTGGTGTCTGTTACTTGGTGTGTGGGGAAAACCGGAAAACCACCTACATCTTTGGTCACAGAAATCTGTTGATTATTTCTGTAGTAGTGTGAGAGCAGAGGAAAACACAATTTGAGAGTTTTTTCCTACACAGGTGTCAAGTTTGTTTTTACCTACCACTTTGTCTATAGTACCAGACATACAGTACACCGTGAAATACTTTGTGTTTAAAGACTGAGTGAATAAATGGATTTAATCCAAGAGGTCAAACATTACTACAAAGAGGTTACAAATAGGTAACGTATTTCCTATGGAACAATGCATCTGAAATTTGGATTTATAATTGAACAGTGTCTCACAAGGGGTAGTACTTTCAAGCGGATTATACTGTTAAATGCATATAAATTAGACCTTAATAAAGAAAGCCATCTTCATTGTTAAGTATTCTAAATCTATTTCTTAAAGAAAGATCTCTACATCCTGTACTTTAAGCACTAAGATTTGATAAAATATTCTTTTTTAAGCATGCAGATCTTTAAATTTTTTGTACTGTATTTGCCCGATCACAAAAGAAACACATCATCTAGAAAATCTGGAAAATATAAAAAAGCCCAAAGAAAACAATTGCTTTAAAATTTTTAAAAAAATAATTAACTGTCAAATAAAGATTGAATATATTCAGGGCATGCAGTGTGATTATTTGATGTATATAAACATGGTGCAATAATTACCACAATTAATTAACTCATGTATCATCCTCCATACTCCACAGTAGGTTCCCATTATAACTTGGTACCCTTTAACCAACGTCTCCCTATTTTCTGCACCTCCACCTCCTGGGAACCACTGTTCTATTCCCTGCTTCTATAAATTTGACTTTTTTAGATTCCACGTACAGGTGAGATTATACAGTATTTGTCCTTCTGTATCTGGCTTATTTCACTTAGCATAATGTCCTCCAACTTCATCCATGCTGTCACAAATGGCAGGATTTCATAGCAAAAGAACAACCCAATTTAAAAGTGGGTAAAAATAGACGTTTTTCCAAAGCCATAACGCTGACCAATAGGTATATGGAAAGGTGCTCAACATTACTAGTCATCAGGGACATGCAGATCAGAACCACAGTGAGCTCTCACCTCACCCCTGTTAGAATGGCTATTATCAAAAAGACAAGGGATAGCAAGTGTTGGTGAGGATGTGGAGGAACGGGAACCCTTGTACACTGTTGGCGGGAATGTAAATGGGTACAACCATTATTGGTACAGGTCATAGGTTCCTCAAGAAATTAAAAATAGGCCGGGTGCGGTGACTCATGCCTGTAATTCCAGCATTTTGGGAGGCCAAGACAGGTGGATCACCTGAGGTCAGGAGTTCAAGACCAGCCTGGCCAACATGGGGAAATCCCATCTCTACAAAAATAGAAAAATTAGCTGGACTTTGTGGCAGCCTCCTGTAATCCCAGCTACTTGGAGGCGGAGGCACGAGAATCGCTTGAACCTGCGAGGAGGAGCTTGCAGTGAGCCAAGATTGCGCCACTGCATTCCAGCCTGAGTAACAAGAACAAAATTCCATCTCAAAAAAATATTAAAAATAAACTCATATGAACCAACAATCCTTCTGATGGGTATTACATACAAAGGAAAAAAGAAAATGAAATCAGTATCTTGTAGGAATACCCGCACCGTGTATGTATTGCATCGTTGTCTACAATAGTCAAGATGTGGATGCAACCTAGGTGTCCATCAGCAGATGAATGGATAAAGAAAATGTGGTACATAGACACAGTGGAGTACTATTAACCCTTTGAAACACAAGGAAATCCTGTCATGTGTGACAAGGTGGATAAACCTTGAGGACATTATGCTAAGTGAAATAAGCCAGACACAGAAAGAAAAAATTTTGCATGACTTCACTTATTTGTGGAATCTAGGTTTAAAAAGTTTAAAAATAAAATGTTTGCTTATTTGTCTTAGTTTCTGCTTGCAGTAAAGTTTGTAAAAGAATAAGTGGGTCTATACTTTGAGTTCTTATGAAAAAAATACAGCTAAGTAGTGGATAAAGTGAGAAGAAATTATCTGGGGAAAAGATGGGGAAGGATTGGTTGACAGGCGTGGTTTTCAGGATGCAGAGTAGGATTCCAGACAGCCTGGGTGTCACGGTACAAACGTTCAAGCTTTGATTTCAGGAGGAAGGGAAATTATGCTGCTGTTTCAGAGCCTGGCCCCATCCTAACCGTGGGGTGATTGACAGGTTCGCTTTCCCGAAGAGAGACAGCAACAAAGACCATTGGGTTTCAATTCAATCCCATTCCCAGCAGCAGGTGTTGATGGGATTCTTCTCTGTGGGAGGCGCTCACAACATGCTCTGTGGGTTGCGGGGTGAGAGGTGTGTTGTGGGCAGAAGGATGTAACAAGAAGATAAAATGTTCTCTGACCTCACTGGCCTCACACTCCAGAGGGGACATTTCTCTAATCGCAGTTGATTGTTCTTGTGAATATTGACTCATCAGAGTTTCATCACAATTCTGTGATGTAATTAGGGCTGCTGCCATTGCTGTCAGTTGACAAATGAAGAGACATATACACAGTAAGGAATTTGCTGGAGTCGGTCAGTTGAATTGTGAAAGATTTAGGATGAGAATTTCAGATTATTGGACCATGGTAAATTTTCAGACATTGAGTTGGGGTAACATTTTTTTTTTCTGATTTTTTTTTTCTCATTACCAAATTGAATAGAAAATATCTTTTTTAAATTATGCTTATAAAAATCAAAGTTATATTCTGTTGTATGTTGAATGTACTTAATATATCAGGCATAAAAGAGAATCTTTGTGTATTTACTGTTTTATTTATTGTTAGACAGAGTCTCTCTCTGTTGCCCAGGCTGGGGTGCAGTGGCGTGATCTCAGCTCACTGCAACCCTGCCTCCAGGGTTCAAATGAGTCTTGTGCCTCAGCCTACTGAGTAGCTGGGATTATAGGCGTGTGCCACCACACTGAGATAATTTTTTGTATTTTTAGTAGAGACGGGGTTTCACCATGTTGCCCATGCTGGTCTCGAACTCCTGGCCTCAAGTGATCCACTGTCCCAAACCTCCGCAATTACAGGCCTGAGCCACTCCACCTGGCCTATTTACTATTGTAATAGTTATTTTTTCTACAAAAGATTTTGTGTATACGATTGGCAACTTATTTGAATGAGGTCTTTGGCAAACGCATGCTCTTTATATTTTTGTTCTTCTTAAGGTGTAAAACTCAGCTTAATCAAGAAACAAATACAAATCTATTAGGAGTTAGAAATATTTAGGAGACTCTAAAAGAAAAATTCTCTTTTTCCTGTAGCTCATTCTATTTTTTTGTTGTTGTTGTTGGATTCTTTGTTTTTGTTACTCAATAATTAATGTCTCTTTTCGTTATTTTCCTGCCTTACTTTTTACTGCCTTTGGCTGAATTCCTAATTCCTACTATATATATATTTTTTCTCCTAGGTCAAACCGATAACCAATATACCCGCTTTGTGACTGGAGGGACAGTTTTATTGTTGTTATTTGTTATCTCAATTACCACCATCATTGTCATTTTCCTTAACAGGTGAGTAGTGCAACTTATCCTGAATCTTACTCAGCGTGAGTCATTCCGATGTTAGAGGTTCTCTATTAATAACCCAGTAATTTGTCAGGCTGTCTCACTATTCACATATATATTTTTGTGAGCACTGTTCTAACACAGAGGAGGAGAAGTAGCTGTGGTGATGTTACAGGGAGAGCCGGAATAGTTCATTCGAGAGTGAGTAGAAGCGGGTGGTCTGCCCCTTTTATTTTCAGCCTGATACCTCTGCTCTTTGTCCTGCCCTGTCTTCCTCCTCCTCCAAGGAAAAAGCTGTTAGTGAGGGGTGGTGTGTGTGCATGTATGACACAGCGTGAGATGGATACAGATTCTGAGAAGGGGAGGAACAAGGTTTAACAGTGAGAAAGCCTTCATTTCTTCATTTATCAAATGTTTATTGTGCACAGCAGTGAACAAGACATAATGAAGCTCACATCCCAATAAGCAAACAGCATAATTTCAAATAGTTGTATATTCTCAGAACCAAGAAACCCAAGTGCTTAAAAATTACTGAGAAGAAGGAATTGGAGGGCGCTGCCTTAGAGAGAGAGCAGGGAGCCATTTGGCCTATACTAAATTTCTTTTTATCTTTTATTGGCTGGTCACAGTGACATATGCCTGAAGTTCCAGCTGCTCAGGAGGCTGAGGCTGGAGGATTGCTTGAGCCCAAGAGTTCGAGTCCAGCCTAGGCAACATAGCAAGACCCTGTCAATAACAAAAATTAAAAATTAAAAAAAGTCTTTTACTGTATTGTAGCACAGTTGGGCATTTTCTAGGGTATTCTTGGCTGAGTTTTTCTTCCCCTTCTAGCTCTCCTGTGCTTATCAACTCACTTGTGTAGGTATTTGTTACATATCTTTGCTGTAATCATAGCAGGTTGAAATTATTCCTTATAATGTATTACAGCTAAAGTGTTATCTTCTTAAGGGAGGAAGGGACCACACTTTTGATGTCTCTATTTTGCATGTCTGGCATATCAAGACACTTAATATATGTTTGCTGGGTAAGTGAATATGTCCATCTGCACTCCCCTCCTTCAGTAATGTTACCAAATACACCACACACACACACACACACACACACACGCCCCTGCTTCCAGTAGGCCTCTCCACCTTGTCTCTTCATCCTTGACCTCTGGTTCTTTAGCAGCTGTCATCACTGCCCTCTGATTTTGGTAATGTCTCCAACCTGCTCTCAGCTATAGCCTCTTTCTCTAACCCATCCAGTTTCCCTGGTTCTTCTTCTGAAAGCTGGGTTGGCATGTCATCTTCCTGTTCAATATCTTTGATTATCTTCCCACTGCTATCAGAATAATGTTAAAACTCATTAACCCTGTCATTAAAGTTGCCCTACATTCTGACTGAAGTCTAATTTTTATTCACACTTTCTACTTTATTTATTCTCCCTGATGTTGATAAATTTTGTGAAAACTGAAGCACACCCAATGCTCTCCCCATCTGGTTTGCTACCAAAATGCTGTTTGCCCACATTTGGCTGCTTTCCCGTGTATCATTCAAGGTGTGAAACACCTGTCCCCTGTGTGGGCTCTGCACTGTTCTCCGTCCCTGCAAACAGACATGATGTCACCATCTGGAATCATCGTGTACGTCTCTGCTACTCCTCACATCCTGCTTTGTATTTTAATCACTTTCATGCTTGCCATCCCTTCATAATGGCAGAGTTCGTGTTTTATTCATTTCTTAGCGTTTGATAGAATTTAGCACTAATCTGTCCAAATAATGAATGCTCAATAAACATTTGTCTAATTAAACTGAAACAGGAGATCAGGTCATTTTATCTTTTCCCCATCACAGACTGCCCTTAAGTCTTTCCCTGAACAGAAATTAGCAAATTGAGGTAAGGAACGGAGGTGTTAGTAGCACCATGGACTCCTCCACTGTCTCACCTTGGCAATGGGAAACATCCTGGGGGCAGAGATGGCAGAGGGAGCACCCAGGAACCGGGCAATGTGACTAAGAGACAGCGAGTGGTGACAAACCTCCACAGGGACACAGATGTTGGACGTGATAGATTTTGCTTCATGAAAATGCATCACTTTTACATGAATAGTTAAATTGAACGGTAGAATATATTGTCCCACTTGGTTAAATGTGATAAAAGGAGATTAGTGGACTTGAATTTGTAATCATAGATGCACACCACAAGGGAAAGCACTTGTTCTTTCTGCCTTGTCACTAGTATCAGTTTGTGGTTTTGACTTCCAATGGAAATGCTTTGAAAGATGACCCAAGGGCTCCAACAATGACCTTCTGAACTCTGTTTTACTGTTTAAAATAATCCTGCAGCTTCAGATGTATTGACTTGGATGGAAGCCAACATAAATCAGACAGTGTCTCCGAACAAAACTGAATTCTTCACACTCAGCGCCTGGTAGCCTGTGTGTTGGAGGAATTGGCAGCAGTTTCTCTGCTCCTGGTGTGTGCTGTTTTCATGCGGAGATAGCAGCAGTAACACAACTAAGTGAACATGGCTAGGGAAAGGGCTTCACATTGGCAAGTGTGAAAGGAGACAAAATATGGCCAGGGGTGGTGGCTCACGCCTGTAATCCCAGCACTTTGGGAGGACGAGGTGGGTGGATAATTTGAGGTCAGGAGTTTGAGACCAGCCTGGCTCAAATGGTGAAACCCCATCTCTACTAAAACTACAAAAATTAGCTGGGCGTGGTCGTGGGTGTCTGTAGTCTCAGCTACTCAGGAGGCTGAGGCAGGAGAATCACTTGAACCTGGGAGGTGGAGGCTGCCGTGAGCCAAGATTGCACCACTGTACTCCAGCCTGGGTAACAGAGTAAGACTCTGTCTCAAACAAACAAAAAAAGGAGCCAAAGTATATTCTATAGATGTGTACCAGATTGTAGGAAGAAATGTAATATTTAGGGAGAAAAATGTTAGATACTTATTTTTACATTCCTTGTGAACATTGGCATTAACAAATAGGGAGCCTTCGTTTTCGGGGCTCTCTGGGTTTTGGCATTGAAAATCTCTCGTCTTGGGAAACTCCTTAGTCCCAGGCAAACCAGAATGGCTGGTCAACATAAATCTAATTGTGATATGTTTACTCTATTTTTTTATTTTTAGTTTTATTTTCTTAACATTTATTTTAAGTTCAGGGATACATGTGCAGGACGTGCAGGTTTGTTAGCTAGGTGAACATGTGTCATGGGGTTTGTTGTATAGATTATTTCATCACCCAAGTATTAAGCCTCATACCCAATCGTTATTTTCCTGTCCCTCCTCCCACCCTCCACCCTCCAGTAGGCTCCAGTGTGCGTTGTTCCCCTCTGTGTGTCCATGTGTTCTCATCATTCAGCTCCTACTTATAGGTAAGAACAGGTGGTATTTGGTTTTCTGTTCCTGCATTAGTTTGCTAAGGATAATGGCCTCCAGCTCTATCCATGTCCCTGCAAAAGACATGGCCTCATTTCTTTTTAGAGCGTGTTTGAAATAATATTGGTGCTGGAATATCATATCTTTATATCCTTTATTGAATATGCATTCCAGAAGGAGAAGGAGAGAAAGAAGCGATCTATATACAGAGTCCTGGGATACACAGAAGGTAAGTTTTTATGGAACTGTCATTTTTTCTTTTGTAATATACAAATGCAAAGTCAGTTTCTTTTGCAGTTAGCAATCTTATATTTTATTGTCCTTTCAGTAACCTGACCGTGCAGTTGCCTGTAATTTAAATATCAGCTATTTGGAGAAAGTTATTTTCTGAACTATTCTATTTTTAATACCCTTTGAAACTAAGTTTTTATATGAATATAAATAAAGGAGCAATTACCCTGGCATAATAACAATCAGCACTATGCCTTCCCTAAATCTCTGTTCCTTTTCTAGGGCTGCTGTGACAAATTACCAAAACTGGGTGGCTTAAAACATGATGGAAGAAATCTATTCTTCCATTATTCTGGAGGGTTGAAGTACGAAAAGCAGTGTCAGAAGGACTGGTTTCTTCGTGGGATGAGAATCCATCCCATGCTTCTGTCCAGCTTCTAGTGGAGCTGTCGATCCTTGGCTGGTAGACCAATTGCTCCAATCTCTGCCCCCTCACTGTTCTCACCTGTGTGTTTGTGTCTGCCTTCCTTCTTCTTATGAAGACCCCAGTCATCTTGGACTTAAAGGCCCACCCTTCTCCAGCACAGAGTTGTTTGAGCTTAGCTAATTACAAGGATCCTATTTTCAAATGAGGTCACATTATGAGGTTCCGAGGAGGACATGAATTTGCGGGGGACACTATCCAACCCAGGAGAGGACATAGTATTTTTATGTCATAAGGTTATTGTGATGGTTAAATTGCATAAAAGAACCAGAAATATAGCAAGCATATAGAAAAGCATAATGATATTCATTATTATTATTATCTTTGGAGTTATTTATTAGTATATACTTACGTTATACAGCCAAATAACTTTTTTATTTTCTTATGGGCTGCAGGAGCTTGATGAGCTGTGAAAGTTTCTTCCTTATTCTGCCTTGCTCCTGCTCCTTGTTGTTTAACTAAAAGACTAGAAACTTCCTTCTGGGTTTGCAGATAAGAGGAATATGTATTTTCATGATCATTATCCCCACTATACTTCAAATCTCTTTCTTTAACACATAGCATCCTGTTTATGAAATTTCACAAAAAAAGTTGCTATGGATTGAACATTTGTGTCTTCCCAAAATTCATATGTTGAAATCCTAACCCCCAATGTGATGATATTAGGAGGTGGAGACTTTGGGATGTGATTAGGTCATTGGAGTGGAATCTTCACGAATGGGATTAGTGCCTTTTTAAGGACAGAAGCGCTTGCTTCATCTTTCTGTTCTTTGCAGTGTGAGGATACTGAGAAGACAGTTGTCTGCAAACCAAGAAACAGGCCCTCAGGCCCTCACCAGACTCTCTTTTTTTTTTTTTTTCCCTCAAGTTAGGAAGATATTCTCTTAATCTTGGACTTGCCAGCCTCCAGAACTGTGAGGAATAAGTGTTTGTGGTTTAAGCAACCCAGTCTATGGTATTTTGTTACAGCAGCCCAAACTAAGACAAAAATTTTCCCAAATCCTATCCAAAAGTATATACATTTCTTTTTCATTTTAATTATTTGCAATTGAATTCTGGATGGCCAAAAGCCAAGTACTAAAAAGGTTCTGACAGTCCAACATGTGTTCATCAGACGCCTTCATAATTTATCAGTTTAACTTTTTTTTTTAATTAAGTAGTTACTTTTGCAAAAATATTTTTGTTTGTTGGCAAAAACATGGATTGCTTCTTGATGCCAACTGTAGAATCAAGAAACCTTGCTTTGTTTCATCAGCCACTTCAGCAAGCAATAAATTGGTGGTCTGTCATATACAATTTTGGGATTCCCTTCTTCATCCTTTGCACTCTGTCTACTCATGCCAATCCAGTCACATTTATTGTTGTGAATTTGGGGAATGAAAAGGAGCTTTGCAACTGTCTATATTAGGTATTCAACTTTTTCAGGCTTTTGTAGAATAACATTTGAAGGATTATTAAAGAGTTAATAGGTTGGACTGTCAAAAAAGACATTAAAACTCTTCATTCTCTTTTTTAAAGGACAATCTGTGCAAGTAATCATGGCACTTGAATTTTCATTTTGCTTTCCTCTTAAAAACACTAAGATCTGGCTGGGCATGGTGCCTCATGCTTGTAATCCCAGCACTTTGGGAGGCTGGGGCGGGCAGATCGTATGAGGTCAGGAGTTTGAGACTACCCTGGCCAACATGGCAAAACTCCATCTCTATTAAAAATACAAAAATTAGCTAGGTATGATGGTGCATGCCTGTAATCCCAGCTACTCGGGAGGCTGAGGCAGGAGAATTGTTTGAACCTGGGAGGTGGAGGTTGCAGTGAGCCGAAAGTGTGCCGCTGCACTCCAGCTTGGGCAACAGAGCGAGACTCTGACTCAGAAAAAAAACAACCAACTAACCAACAACACTAAGGTCAATCTAAATTTTTAAATTACTCATCAAAAGACCTTTCTCTAGTCTCTTTTGTCTCTCAATTTGTCTTTTTTCACACCTGCATATTTTCTGTTACATACATACATACATATGTGGTCAAAGTGACTTGATTATGGTAGAGAAGATTAATGATTATACAATATCATCTTGAAAGTGAATGTCAGTTTGTTGTTAACTTTTTATATGTTAAGTTGCTTATTTTTTAAAGTTCAGACACTGTTAGAATTTCCATATAAAACTGATAATTGTTCTTATCAAAGTAGCTTAACATTGGGAGAAGGAGTTCTACATTGAAACAGGTAATTCATAGCACAATACAGCAAGTATTAATCTAGACTAGGTTTCTGTTGCATCTCAGTCAAGAATGTGATTTCTAACAGAAGTTCAATACAGTGAGAAGAATGTTTTATCAAATTAATTATAATGGAAATTTGTCCCATATCATGCCTGCATTTCTGAGAGGTATGTTTTGAATGTCTTCATTAGTTGTTGAAATGCAGTGAATTATTGACTTTCTCTGATGTTTGTCTTTCTAGGCACCCAAGAACTATAGAAGTCCCATCTCTGCCAATCAACCTACCAATCAATCCATGGATGATACAAGAGAGGATATTTATGTCAACTATCCAACCTTCTCTCGTAGACCAAAGACTAGAGTTTAAGCTTATTCTTGACATGAGTGCATTAATAATGACTCTTATGTACTCATGCATGGATTGTTATGCAATTATTTTCCACTACCCATGGTCTACCTTAGATACTAGTTGTCTCAATTGAGTTCATTTGGTAGGAAACATACTTCATTACCTAAAAAACATTTTTCATGGAACTGTTTCAGAAAACCTGACTCTAACTTGTTTATATACAAAAAAACCCTTACTGAATCACGTAACAGAATGATCCAGGGGAGATTAAGCTTTGGGCAAGGACTATTTGCCAGGGCTTAAATGTGTCTAGAATTAAGTATGGGCATAAACTGGCTTCTGAATCCCTTTCCACAGTGTTGGATCCATTTCCCTGGTCTTGGCCTCACTCTCATGCAGGTTTTCCTCTTGTGTTGGCAAGATGGCTGCCAACTCTTGGCAATTCATACATCCTTGTTTCTGTCTGGTAGAGAGTTTGCTTCTCTAATAGAACCAACACATTTGGTTACTTTTTCATTGTTAAATAGGCATCATGATCAGAAAGGATGGAATGGCTTAAGAAAACTAAGGGCTCACTTCTAGAGCTGAGAGCAGGGTCAAAGCACAATACTAGGCAATTCAGAGCATGGTTAGAAGCGGGAACGGGAGTTTCAAAGCTGGGGTGTTTACCAACAAATATTGACTGCAGTGACTAACCAAGACATTCTTGGTTAACTAAAAAGTGAAATATGGGATGGATTCTAGAAATGGGGTATCTCTCTCCATACTTCTAGAATCCACGCTATCAGCATAGTCCAGAAGAGTACCTGGCAATAGAAGAAATGAATAATCAAGAGGAAGATAAATATGAGAGGACAATCCCTTGCTATTCACATATATATTTATCTCTCATTCTGTATAGAATTCTTGCCACCATCCCAGGTCTAGCCTTAGGAGCAAATATAGTAGATAGTCCAATAATAAATACCTTAATGTTTTGGACATTTTTTTTTTCCCTACTTTTGAGAATTATTTTTAATATGTAAATTCTCTCAAAAGGGTCAGGCACCTAGTTATTATTTTTTAATGATTATGTGAAACTTGAATATAATATACCACTAAAAGTGACAGCTGGAAGTGGTGGCATAGGATGGTAGGGTAGAAATTTGAGAGGGAAAAAAGAAACTGGGAGGGTACAGGCAACAGGAGAAAGGAATCAAACCACAGAAAAATACAAAGGGAAACTACTGCTTCACGATTTGGACAAAGACAGCGCTAATGACTTCACCAACATTCAAAGCAATTAGAGGCCATACCTGATATTGTTTGACTTCTAGATGTAGGCAAACAGTGAAAAGCATTTGCCAAACTGAATAAAACTGTCATGGTTACCTTGAAAGGACAATGGTCATTATTAAATATAGTGATCATTCATGTCTAAAAGATTCGTTATTTGTCTCTAAAGATTTCTAAAGACCACCATCTAGAGAAGATTCATTATGAAGACTGTATTTAAATATCAAAGTTGTGGACTTCATGATAATCTTAAATGAAGCAAATCCAAATTCTCCTGTTGCTTAGACAGATTCTAAGATGTAATTTACACTTTTAAGCTAATTAGTATTTTATGATTTTTAGCCTTAAACACCATGTATGCCAAATAGTGCAATTATTTTGTGAATTTCAGAAATGGTAAGTGCTCACATTTCTGTGAATTATAAAATTTGTGAGGTTTTTTAAAACCCTTTTCAGGAGTGAAAAAATTAAAATGACCATTTCCTAGTTGTACTTAAGTAAATGCAAGAAGAGTAAACTCTCATTTTTCTTATGTTTGCATAAATATCTTTTCATACCTGGATTCATGAAATATTTCCACAAATATATTAGTGTAACAAACTTGAGAGGTAGTTTACAAGAAAACCCTCTACTATCAGATCAGTCAGAGATTCCATGAGAGAATTTGTTGGTTTGCATGGTGAAGCAAGCTTAGCATCAATTAAAAGGTAAATAATTGCTTTTCTGAATGGTGAAGACAATCACAATATTACTTTGTGGAAAACTCCAATAACCAAATTCTCAATGATTACTGTATGTGATCAGGAAAACATTTTTACAATTGTAGTATGGGGAAATATAAATCCAATTTTAAGAGAAAACAATGACTGGGTGTGGCAGGGAGAGTACAGTCAGATACCATTGTCATGGTGGTTTTTACTGGGAACTTCATGGAAGATGTTTGTAGCAAGCCACTGAAGTGTTGCAAAGCCTCCAGAACATTTGGAACTTGTCTCTTTTGCCTTGCATATTTTCGTGTTTTTGGTCTCTCATTCAAAATATTGATGAGAACTATTTACTCTGTCATTTCTTCTCTATATATTCTTCCTCTACAGAGTGCAGGATTTTTTTCAGGAATTTGGAGCCATCCTAAGTTCTCCCAAAAATTTTCTGACCTCCTCTGATGCTCCTGTTATACCCTCAGGGTTAATGCTTGTGAAATTCCATTCATTTTCTTTCCCTGGACATCTTTACTTACCAAAGCACTTTCATTGTAATCTTTTTAACATCATCCCTAATTCGTGATAGTTTTGGAACTCTCCCTAGTATATGTTTCTCTGCCTCTACTGTTTTGCACCTATGATTCTGATTGTTACTAAGAAATCAGATCAAAACAGATCCACAGAATAAAAGATCAGAATTCCAGTAAATTATGTTATAAATACAGATATTTTTTACAAGTTGCTGCTTTGGAAGCAAAATGCTTCTTAACTTTTATATATGTATACACATGTATATAATTTATATTGATGGATAATACAACGTTAAATAAGAATCTGTGCTTTCTTCAAATGCCATTAACATTTACATTAAAGTAACCAATTAAAGGAAATTACTTTGTGATAATAAGGTAGGTAGATTTGTTAAATGTCATTGTGGAGTACACCGTTTTGTCAGGGAAAGAACAGATCTTATTGAACTATGATGACTATGAATTGACTGTATTATTATAAGATACCTTCAAACTTTATTTTAAAAACTTTATGTAGAATATGTTGCGAAAATAAAATAGAAATTTCATTTACCCCTGATCATGCTTAAAATGGGAGGCAGGTAGCTGATATAACTTTTAATTAGTAAAAACTCAAATTTATGTTTTAATTTAGTTTATTACTGAAGTACTATATATATAAACTTAAAATACATGGGTTATTAATTTAAAAGACAAAGTAAATAAAAATACTTTTAGTAGGCATTCTTTTATTGTGAGCATCCAAGTTATATTGGTTTATATAGAATGGCATTAAGTAAAAATTACAGTTGTATGACAGTAATTTTCTAAACTGGGGGAGTCCACGTTGTAATTAGAGATCACTGTGACCAAATTGCTTCTCCTTGATTTATAATGATACACTGTATTTTGTACTGCTTATATGAAGTTTCAGCAAGATTGACGATATTATAAAGATGCTTATAAAGTGCAAGTGGAGATGCTAAATTGTGAGTACAAAGAGGTTTCTTTTCACAACAGTGATAAGAAAATATCTTTAAAAAAATATAAGACAACATAAACATGCCACCATTAGTTTAGCTACTATTAAAATGTAACATTTAGAAAGCATTGACCTTTGCATTCAGACTTCTGTATAAGTTAGTGTATTTTTTCACTGATCTGTCCCTTAGAATTCTTCCAGCCAAGACTCTGGGCTCTTAAAACATTTATCTGAAAACTAAAAACAAGTAAAACAAGTTTATTTTTTAAAAAAGCTTCTCTATTTCTAGTGATTCAACAGGTAGAAAAACAGCTTCTAGAATTAACTGCAATGCTTTCTAAGGAAATTTTATAAATCCTCAAGGTCGGTTTACATATATTTTTCCAGATTCAAAGCACTAACTATGCTGTAAGATGTTGTAAGAAAAGTTCTATTTGGAAGTATGGGTGATAAATGTCTGGGATAATTCTGGTTTATTTCCTATTATCCTTGTTAGAATAAGTTATATGGTGAACCTGTCTAGAACACTTTTTCCAGTGTTAGTGTGTACCTTTGAATTTTTGGTTCTTGTAATGTATAGAAATATTTTCCTAGATGTACTGTATTCTGTTGTTTTGAATGAATAAAACACAGTGTTTCACGATCACTAGCTTCATTTGCCATCAAGAAATAGGGAAAATTTTCTACAGAATAAAATTAACGTGATGAATTACATGCAGAAAAAATTCAAATCAATGATGCATTGTAACTTTTATCTCAATTCAATATTCCTTTTGTTATTATTATTATTATTGTTATTTTGAGACGGAGTTTCGCTTTTGTTGCCCAGACTGGAGTGCAATGGCGCGATCACGGCTCACCACAACCTCTGCCTCCCGGATTCAAGCGATTCTCCCGCCTCAGCTTCCTGAGTAGCTGGGATTACAGGCATGTGCCACCACGCCTGGCTTATTTTCTATTTTTAGTAGAGACGGGGTTTCTCCATGTTGGTCAGGCTGGTCTTGAACACCAGACCTCAGGTGATCTGCCCATCTCAGCCTCCCGAAGTGCTGGGATTACAGGCGTGAGCCACCGCGCCTGGCCTTGTTCTTTGTATTTTATAAGTGCATGTAGTGAAAAGGGTCAAAGGGCTGTACAGCTTTTTTTTCCCCCCGAAACATAGTAGTCCCTCGCCCTTCCTCATTTTCGTTACCTTGAGACAACAGATTTTACTACTTCTAACTCATTATTTTATTTTTCACTTTTCTGAATAGCATGCTTATGACACTAATACATTTTTTCAATTTTAGACATTCATTATTCATTTATGTCTTCCTCTCCCCAAACTCACCAACATAGAATACTCCTCATGTCTCTTTCAGAAATACTTGTATTAAAATATTATATCAATATTTGCTGTTTCTTTCTTATGACCTTGCCAGCACTCTTAAACCACATGGTAAAAATGATTTTGCTTTCCCTCCGACATAACTTTTTTCCACTAGAGCTAACAATTGTCATTTTGGGGACTTACTTTTTCTGTATTTACCATAAATGGATCTGGAACTCCTCTGTGATGCAGCAGGAATTCTAGCAATTTCAACTTCCTGAGAAAGACTCCATTAGAAGCTTGACTTGGAGCTATAAAGAGAGTCACACAATTGCCATGCTGGTGTCTCCCTTCATCCAGAAAAAGAAGAGGGAGGAATATATGAAACCTAGAATCCACTCTAGAAAATTTTCCAGAACAAAAGGACATGCATTTCCACATTGTAAACGTTTAACAAGTGCCCATAACAAGGGAATAATAAGTCTATTATGTTTGTTTTTGTGTCTGTAAAAGTTGGGGTATGGTTGTAAGCATGAAAACAGATACTGACTGTTGAAGGAAAAGAAAAAATACGAGGTCAGTAGTTCGAGACCAGCTTGGCCAATACGGTGAAACCCTGTCGTACTAAACATAGAAAAATTAGCCGGGCGTGGTGGCGGGCGCCTGTAGTCCCAGCTACTTGGGCGGCTCAGGCAGAAGAATCGCTTGAACCCGGGAGGCAGAGGTTGCAGTGAGCTGAGATCGCGCCACCGCACTCCAGCCTGGGTGACAGAGCGAGACTCCGCCTCAAAGAAAAAAAAAAAGTTAAGTATTTGAAGATAGGGGTGGCTCATAGAATTCCCAGGACACCCGATGGAGTAGGCTTGCAAAATAGAACGTGTGTCAACTCCAGTGGGAAACGAGGCAGGAAGCACAACTAACAATTTGGGCTTCAACACGCTCCCTAGAACAGGCTGCAGCGAACCTGAGCAGCATCACTCCCCCATGCCCGGATCAGTCCTGAGCCCCCATTTTTATTCACTTGTTCCAAAATCAGGGTCTCTTAACTATATCTGGGAGGCAGCAGCTGTTATCTCCCCCTTCAGCTTCCATAGTGGCAGGTTGGGTACAACTTACTTTCCAAACAGAACACACTGACATTCCCTCCAAGCTCGCTGAAGAACTTGAACCGACAAATGTCCCTACTCGACCAGATGATAGTTTTCTTAAAGGCAGGGTTTAATGTACCCTTTTCTAAATGTTTCAAGGCCCTATCTAATACCTGAGTTTATTCCAGATGTATCTAAATATATCCAAGGTTCTTTTAATATGGTGAAAAAACAAATAAAAACAGTGTCTATATCAATATTCTCAATTGGCAGTATTGCAATAATGGCCAAAAGTTCATTTTTAATAACACTATTGACATTGCATTTGGATATTAGGGTTTACTAATCATCCGCATGTATACGTTGCATATTTTTCTAGACTTTAACTTTATTCAAATCTATTGATTTAGGTATACCTTTACAAAAACTATCAAATTTTTTGGTAACATACTACCTCCAAAATTTCAAGAAGTTGCTTTTTGTCCGTTTTTAAATGGAAATCTGCCAATCAAAATGCCACAAAATTATACCGTGTATCATTTGACTTATGGAAACCAATATAATTACAGGAAGAAAGCAGAGTCAATCTTCTACCTGTGGTCAAATAAGTGGAGGCCCTTTCTAGACTAAGTTCTCATGAGTTTAAAATACCAAGCATGAGTTCTCCAAATTCCTGAAAAGGAAGTCTTGTGTTGTATTGCCAAGCCAAATTTGTAAGACATAAAAATAAAACTTGAGAAGAAGCTATGATTAACTTACTTTCTTCATTCTTCAAAATTTACATAATCTCAGCTGATTTTATATTTTTATAAAATGCATTCTTAAGATATATCCTTATTCAATCATGTATTCATTACATCCTTTATGCCAGGTATCCAAAAGTACTTACAGTGACTAAGACCATTATTCCTTGATCAGCTGCATGAGTAAGACTTTGAGCTCTCCAATATATTCTCGGTGGTACTAAGTTTTCTGAGTAACAGCTTTGGATGTGGCTTCAGTTGAGCTGATTTATCCCACACTTTATTTTTATCACATAGTGGCCCTCAGAAGTAAATTTCAATTTCTTTTTAGCTCACATAAAAATGTACAATGAAATGTAATGGCTCAGTAGCTTCTAGAGATATAGATTACCCTTCTAAACTTTCTGTAATTTTGCATGTCTATTTGATAATTCTTTCAATGGCTAATGAATAGCTATCTTTTATTTTTCTTTTAAAATATTTATTTATTTATTTATTTTGAGACGGAGTCTCGCTCTGTTGCCCAGGCTGGGGTGCAGTGGCGTGATCTTGGCTCACTGCAGCCTCTGCCTCCCGGGTTCAACCAATTCTCCTGCCTCAGCCTCCCGAGTAATTGGGACTACAGGCATCTGCCACCATGCCCGGCTAATTTTTGTATTTTTGGTAGAGACAAGGTTTCACCATGTTGGCCAGGATGGTCTTGATCTCCTGACCTCGTGATTCACCCGCCTCGGCCTCCCAAAGTGCTGGGATTGCAGGCACGAGACACCGCGCCCGGCCTTGAGTAGCTATCTTTTATAAAATTGAGCTATTGACAAAAATGTTTTACTATGTGCTATGATTTTTAAGGCAATTTCTTATATGCTTTCATTTTTTAAAACAACAATTCCAAGTTGGTGGCAAGATAAATGTTATTATCCTGGTCGACAATTGAGGAAAACTGGATCAGGAGAAACTGTGTGCCAAATTGTTCTATGGCAGTTTAAGATAGGAATTGTAATTCTCAGAATCTCTTTTTCTTTATGGTTCTGAGTGAGAACTGGCTACAATGGAATTTGCATGAGATATGGAAGATGGATGTGAAACATTAGAAATTACTCTTTGTAGGTTATTTTAGTCGATATGGTGATGGGCAGATGCAGAGGGCCTGGCATATCCCAGCTTGTTCTTTCTCTACTGCATGTCTGGATCTTTCTGACTGACAGGGCAGCTATAGTCTTAGCTACTGCTGTAGGTTGGTTGCAGAACCACAGAGGTAGTAGCTGTCCCGTGGCAACAGCTCCGCAGAGACCTCTTAGAAACTTCCCTTTCACATGCAAGTAACAAGATACAAGGTCAGTGTGTTTACAAAAAGGAAAAGAAAAGTCAATTGGTGTTCTATATGCCAGGAATGAGCAATTTAAATTTGAAATTTAAAAAGCAATGAGGCCATTTACCAGAGCACCAAAACCAGTGAGGAACTTCGGTATACATTCAACCACACACACACAGGATCTGGATGCTTTATGTCTGTTACTATGCTCTACTCGCTAGTTTAGAACTTTTTTGGATAGATCCTTTGGAGTTTTCACATAGATAATCATGTCTTCTGTGAATAAAGATACTTCTTTTTTTTTTTTTCCCAATCTTTATACCTTTTATTTCTTTTCCTTGTCTTATCGTAGTAGCTTGGACTTCCAGGAATAGAAGTGACAAGATAGTGCATTCCTGCGTTGTTTCTGCGGGAGAAGCACCCAGTTTTTCCCTGTTAAGTACGATGTTAGCTGTGGGTGTTTTGTAGATGTTCTTGAACATCAAGTTGAAGAGCTCTCTATTTTTAGTTTGCTAAGCGTTTTTTTTTTTTTTTTTTTAAGTTATGGATAGATGTTGGATTTTGTCAAATGCCATTTCTGCCTCTCAATGAATACAAGCATATTTTTCTTCTCTACATTGTTGATGTGGTGAATTACTGATTTTTTTAACGTTGAACCAGGCTTGTATAACTATACCAAATCCTGCTTAATCGTGGTCTATAATTATTTTTACACAGTATTGAATTTATGTTATTAATATTTTGTTGAGGCTTTTTTCATCTCAGTTTATAAAAGATATTTATCTGTAGTTGTTTTTGAAATGTTTTTATTTGGCTTTGATATTAGATAATGCTGACCTCATAAAATGAGTTAGGAAGTGTTCCTTCTGCTTCTGTTTTCTGGAAGACATCGTGAAGATTTGGTATTATTTCTTTCTAAAATGTTTGGTAGCATTATACTATTTTTTGGAATGTTATCTGTTATAGATGCAATTTCTTTAATAGATACAGGACTATTCCATGTTTCTATTTCTCCTTGTATAAATTTTGGTAGTTTTTGTTTTGTAAGGAGTTGGTTCATTTCATCTAAGTTATCAAATTTGTTGTCATAGATTTGTTCCTAATATTCTCTTATTACCCTTTGACACATATGGCATCAGTAATGAGGACCCCTTTTTCATTTCTGAAATTCTCCAAGAAAACCTAACGATTCTG